CCCCAGTACTCTGCAGGGCATTCTGTTAAAAGACAATGCAATCAGGAGAAGTTCTTACAGAGTCTAAGACTACAAATACTAGTAAAACTGGAAGGTTGTACTTAAGCGCAGTAGTGCTTTGAGCTACAAACACTGACATTGGAACTTTGTGTAAAAGCATGTTATGATAACTAATTTGAGAGAAATATAAGAACTAGCTGATGCATAAAGAATGCCATTTATTATACATGTATTTGGTCATTTGGTCATCATCCAAAATCTTGAAGGTACATGAATTCTGAATACCTGTTTTTTTGGACTAGCCTTTGCCAACTTTTTAAGATATTTGTTGTGTCAATAAGCAATATGTTGAAAAACTGACTGTCGAGAGTACTATACTGGAACATTTATATTTAACATGTAAAATGTATTTGCTTAATACCAGGAATGACACAAAATGAAAAATAAAGTGAGAAAAAAATTCTTACTGGTGTTACAGCTAGCTCCAAAGTATCCATGACGACAGCGGCATTCATTTGGCCTGACACACACCTCATTGTCCTTGCAGGTGAAGTTTCCTTCACAGAGGGCTGAGGTGAAAAGTATAGGCCATATTATTCTATTGGTGTGCACAATGAGCCATATGACATACTGCCAAATGTTAGCTCTAAGTGTGGTACATACGTGTCAGACATTCAGTTCCTAGCTGCCCCCATCCACTGCAGCACACTGGTGTTGATGATCTGGGGGTAAAAGGTACAGAATGAAAGGGGGGAAAGATGAAGCACTTGATTAAAATAAAGCAAAACAAATATATTTCAAGTGACAACATTCACACGAAGTTCCTGCTTCTTTGGCTTTGTGCTTCTTACTGATGCAGCTGTTGCCAAATTCTGCAAATGCAAGCAGAATGTGCTAAGCATATGCATTACACATATGCTTAGCACATTGTTGTATAATTACCTCAATATGGTTCATTCCAATTTCTACAAGACACATACACTCAAAAGCTACTAGCTCCTGAAGCTCTACAGGCTTTTCTGCCTCCCCCAGCCTGTGATGGAGTGTGAATATTCAGAGGCAAAGTTTTGCAGACAAGTATTGGGCCTAACAGGAAAGAACGGCTGCATGTCCTCTTCCTCCCATGCCGGTGACCTCTGTGGGGCCCCTGCAACACGTCAGCTTGCCCTAAATTGTTTGAAGATGGCAGTTTGTGTTCAGTTGATGGGAAGGGAGTAGCACAATTCTATTATCCTGCCAAAACCGGCACGTGTTCAAGATCATTGGTCAAACCTTGGAATTACTTGACTTGTATGGAAGGAAATTTTCCAAAGAATCTCTTTTTTTCTTTTTCATACAGTTTTGTTTAGATTTTTTTGTTTGTTTGTTTGTTTTGTGTTTTGTTTTTTGTTTTTTTCAGGTGTGCCACACCAAATTTGGACAAACTGTAATCAACCCTTTATAATCGACCCTTTGTTAACCATTAACATTAATCCAATCCATGCCAGAATGCAGAAGGAGAAATTACCTTCACTGTTTAATGGAATTAATTTGGTCTTTACATGCTGTGTGCTTTTCATTACCACAGAAAGAATGCACGGACTACTTTCACAGACGACCTCAATTGCTGCTTTTTCACTGATTTGAAAAGAAGATTTTAGTGCTGAAAACATCACAAAGCCAGCAACTTTTTGCATTCTCAAAACACTGTTAGGAACACTTGAAGCTAGAAAACAATGACTATTGAGGGCACCGGCAAATGATTTTAGGATGTATTGCCATTAAAGCCAGATTCAGCAGTTGATTTTCCACTATGAGGAGACATATTGGAATGCTGACTAGTTGTGATAAATAATGAACTACTTCCCTCTGTTCATATGATTCAGGGCTATAAAAATAGAACAATAAATGGATAGTGGGGGAAAAAAAGACAATCTAATGGTGAGTTCAGTGTCATGAATGGTGAAAAGTGCAAAGAGGGGCACAATATCAACCTTGTAGAGCAATAGAGGTCATGTACAGCATGCTGAAAACTTCATAGAGCATAACAATACTCTAGAACAGAATTTCCTTTCTGGCAAATGACAACGTTTTGCCCAGTGAGGCAAGATGACAGCACAGCTTTAGCTTTTGAAGAGCAGCTGCTGATGACTTTCTATCTGAGTGCACAGGAAAATACAGTGTGTGGCTTTTCAGATAAGCTATTTCCCCCCTCTCTCGCTCTCTTTTTTCAAATAAGCTATTTTTGGTCCGATAACATTTTCAACATAAAAAAGGTAAGTGATAACTTTTAAGCTCATCCATCCTAAAGTAATCAGCTACAAGTATATGGTTACTTATCACACATTGTTTAGAACATACTGGAAAATGATCCCTGGATTACATTTGCTGTTTCTGGCCTACCACAATTTACAAAATTCAAAACATCAGTTCGAGCTTGGATACTACAGTCAGCAATTATGGGCTTGGATGTTTTTCTTTTACACAAGTTACTGAAAGGCTCAGGAGATCACCAAGAAATGCCTTTAGGATCACTTACTTTTGCTTTTATGACAGGATTTTAACCTAAATCCTATCAGTTTTGCGTTTCATTAACTCCTCCAAAATCTGGTTCTTAAAAGTGCATTATCAACCACACTATTAAATAGTGCCACGAGTGCTGTAAGGGTCTGTAAGAGCGCCCTCTTCAGAGCAACAAAAACATTTCGGTTCCAGATGTAGCACACACATCTGTATAGCTATGCTTTTCTTCAGTGGACTCCTCCTCTTGCTATCTTGCTATGGCTACACTGAACAGGGAGCGCGTTATATGTAAGGGAGAGGGGGTGGTGGGTCGACGTGACATAATGCATAAAAAACAAAGTGTTTCTAAGATCTCCTGACCTAAAATACGTATCTTTTAAATACTAAAGACGGCGGATGGCTTCACAAAATATTCGGCGACTTTGGAGGACCACTATTTACGCACAAGGCCACCAATGGAAACGTCAAATTTATAAAGTTACGCATTTTTCCACAAAACAAGAAATAAAAAACACTTTGAATAACTACTTATTTCCCAACTCTAGCGGAACCTTTTTGAAGGAAGTTCCCATCCCCCCGAAAATGGAGAATAAGAAGCAAAAAAAATGTTATCTTATTGCAAATCTTATTGTACAAGCTGATTTGCAGTAACAACAAATCGAATAGCTCCCATTTTCCCCCTGCATGCTTACCCGGGTACTTTGCACACATTCCTGCCTTTGGGGTTGAGTTCTTGGCTGAAACCGGAGCAGAAGAAAAGACAAACCAACGCAAGAAAAGTAAAAGAGTTCTTTACTTCCATTGTACAAGCAGCATCATCCTTCTAGACGCCGTATTTACGCCGCATTACCCTCATCCAAAAGTTACGACGGCTGGGTTTCAGTGTTCTTTGCACACTCCAGTTTCTTTAATGCACATAAAACGAATGCGCATCCCTTTTAAATAGGCTAATAAATCCTTAAGGTGTTTTAAAAAGTCTCGCCACCACCTACGCCATCGAGAAACTTTCCAAAACTGACCAGCGACGGCAGCTCCAACCGCAAAGGAGAAAAAGTCATAAAGCCAAAGTTGCAATCGCAGTAGTCTTAGTGAACGTCTTTTCTCCTGTTGTGTTACTTATTCCTTGAAAGAGGTCATAAGCCACATGCCTCCAGATTCAAAATGAATCAAATATTTTTTTCTCTTGCCAAAATGTGTCCTCGGAGCTTCTGGGAATGTGTAGACTGTTGATAATCTTTACAAAAAAATAAAATTAAAATAAAGCAGAGTGTCACTATGTCGCTTTTGTTCCTCTCGAATGAGACGCGCTTAATCCTTAACTTTGGTCCTCTCTTGCGCTCTCAGGAGTGGCAGAAGGGAAATTCCTGATTTGTTACTCTATCTTTGGCTCAGTGCGCCATGCGTGAGCCACCAAATTTACATAAGCCTGTGCGCAACAGGGTCTGATTGAAGGAAAAGGGTTAAAAAGAAATAAAGAAAAAATGTATTGTGCTCCGTTCTTAGATTTTAACAAACAGTAGAGGTAATTACCTATATTGATGACATTTAGTGGAAATATTATATTTATTAACAAAAGTTATGTACATAGATCATCTTAGACGTTGACTTATCAGATTTATAAGTATAATTTATAGAAGACTACGCATTTCAACCAAACCGTATTTTAAAGTAGTTGGGTTTTTTTGGGGGGGTTTTTTTTTTATTATTGTGTGAGCCTTTGTGTGGCGGCTTCAGGGGGCAGCAGTGTATTACCCACAACTGAGACAATAGCTCCCCCATCTGTCAACATGAACGTAGTGATGCTGATAGACAGTACCCTGCATTAAATCCTCTAAGTGCGTCGCACGTAAGTTGAACATATCGTTAGCTTCATAGCATAAGTGCCTAAGTCATTTGACTAAGTCAATGACTTAGGCACTTATGCTATGAAGCTAACCATATCACTTTTGTATGAGTGATTTTGTATCCATGAATTCATTTTAACAAACTGCAGCACTATACGCATTTCACATTCTTGTCTATATAGCAGTGTCTTCTGTGAACCTAATTTTGACTAAGTTGTGTCCTACACATTTACAACATATTGCTTCGTCGAAAAATGGAAAACAACCACTGCTGAAAGGATGGAAACGCCCAAATGGATACTAATTTACAGGTGATAAAACAAAGTTTTATCCAAGAAAACTTGAGTAAAGGTCTGACATGATCATGATCGTGCAATGCGCCCATTTCATAATAAAGCATAATTTTTTAATATAATTTGGATAATAACATATGGGTACTATTTATCTATGTATGCAGACGGTGTTGTTGCACGATGCTAGCAGACAGTGCATACATGCAACTACATAACCAAGTGGCTGACATAGTTCATCTGCGCAGTGTATGGCCTTGAAAGTCCCGAGGTCAAAATGGGATACGCCCCCAAGGTTGGATAAGAATGACCTGTGTGACTTCCAGATACCGGACGTAGTAGTTGAGAACAAGCAGAGGAAGGAGGCCGAAGTGATATATGTAGCTATACCAAAGTGATGGCAAATTCAACTGCAGAAGCTGAAGAAATACCAATATAGCTTATTTTAATGTTTTAAGTTATATCCTAAGAAATTGCCATTTAATCCTTGAGTCTAACATAGTAAACAAAATGTTTATTAGGAAAATACCTAATGTGAAGTGGAATGTAATACAAGCATTTTTTTTGTACCTCTACACGTCATGGTAATTCGTGTTTTCTGCGGAAGTTGACAGCATTGCCAATTAAAAAAATACCCACAACAACGCAACGTGCTCACAAAAAAAAGAAGAAAAAAAAACGCGCTGGTGGAGAGATGCGGGAAACTTCGGGAAGGAAGCCGTGAGTGCGTCACCGTCTCAAACCACCAACCAAGTGATGATAATGTGCCCGTTCGGGCCCGAGTTTGTTTACAGTTGGGCACGCGCAGCTAGCAAACACTATTGGTGTGCTAGCTTCACCTCAGCGCTGATACCCGGGCCAGCTATCCGCTGATGTTTTACGTCAAAACCGTGCCAGCCCTCAAACGGGCGAGGGCGGACATCCACTTTAAACGGTTAGTCTTAAACCGAGCAGTACGTTGCACCGTGACCTCCAGTTCGACGGCCCAGACGGAGCATGACGGTGTCAGAAGCCGCGGCGGGTCAGAGTGTCCCGGACTGTCTGGGAGAGGAGGGAGAAGGAGAGAAGGCACCGCCGCCGCCGCCGCTGCTAATGAGATCTCCGTAGACTTTGAGCAGACCCGGGAGGCTTACAAGAGCAAAGACTCATTAGAGCTTCTCAGAAGTTTGGTGGTTTTCAAACTTTGTTCATATGACTTCCTGGTTGATAAGAACAAAGAGGTAATGAGGCGCTATCTCACCGCGCAGCCCGGCAATTTAACACGAAGTCTGTTTGTTAATGTGCCTTTAGGTGTTCAGATCACTTTCTAATTACAGTTTTTTAAAAATAAAGTTGAGCATAAATACTGAATTCTATGTGAAACGTTCGCATAACAAGCAAATGAGATGTCACAATCAAAGAAAACAGGTGTAAGCAAGTCACTGGACGATAAATTGTATAGTATAATACAATATTATATACTATATAATACAATTTAATTGCTACTATGTTATTTTTTACTAATAGATATAGCATTGACAGTGATGTTGACAATTTCTTTTCAAACAATATGGGAATATTCCCATTTATGTCAGCCATAAGTAGCGTTGAAGGTAAACAAAAGTTCTGTCAGCTGATCAAATCTCAACCATAGGCTGTATGTAAAGTAATGCACTGTAGGCTATATATGTTCTCATATGAAGACAGGCCTAACAGTTTCCGCTCCACCCTTAAATCCAATGCACACCTCTCAAGTTGCAACCTGTTTTTCAGCTATCCAGTCCATGTTACATAACCTCAGCTGTCCTGTTATTGTAGTGTACTGTTAGCATACAGGCTGCTGTATAAATCTATCAGGGCACAAGGCAGTTTCCATTCATCTAAGACTTTTAAGCAAATGTGTTATATACATGGGAGTAGAGTGCATTAAAACACATCCAGCATGGCACACATATTTACATAATCAATGGGGACGATGTAAAAGACATGATGAAAGCCCAAAACATATTAGAATTACTAATCAGAAATGTAATGTATGTAATGTCCTTCCCTTTTTGCCCAGGTAATGGATCTGGCTAAGAAGATTCTAGGCCAGAAAACCTTTGACCAGTTCATGAAGATGACATTTTATGGTCAGTTTGTGGCTGGTGAGGACCACAATGACATCAAGCCACTGATTCAGAAGAACCACTCCTACGGCGTTGGCTCTGTCCTGGACTATAGTGTTGAGGAAGACATCAGTCAGGAGGAAGCGGAGCGGAAAGAAATGGAGTATGAAAATTCTATTGCTTTACTTAATAATACAATAGACTCAACCCCGTTACAGTGATAACCATTGTTGCCTCACAGAAGGAAGGTTTTGGGTTTTGACATGCTTGTTGCCTAACGTGCACATCTTTGGGCTCACGTTTTTTTTTCCACTGTCCAAGGACATGCACCAGAGATGACTGTGTAATTCTAAATTGGTTGAAGGTTTGGAATGTGTTAGCATGGGTAATAGACTGGTGCCCTGTCCAGACTGTTCTTTGCTTCCTGCGCAGTGTCAGCTGGAATAGGCTCCAGCCCCCCCACACCTCACCTTTGTAATGTGTAATACCTTTGACCTTATCCAACCACATCTGGTTGGATAAGGTCAAAGGTATTACACAGTGATGTACCAATATATTAGGCAGTATTTGCTTTGCCGACTGCCATCAGCTTATTAATTTTAAATGACCTTCAACTATTGCAGTGGCTGATATTTGCTGTGTCCTAATAATGTTCTAGTCTTGATTTCTTGGATCCCTTGTCCCTAATTTGTTTGTTTTCACACCTGTACTGCAGCCCTGAACGTTTATCAAAACCACCCAGTGGAGCTGTATGTGAGAAAACAAGTGGTTGACGCAGCTGAATTGCACATTTAACAGTTTTTACCCTGCCAGCGCCCTGGTAAAATGTCGGTGTAATGTCTAATGCATCCATCTGAGAATAGAACAGACAATTGCTTACCCATGCAGCAGCTCTCACCTAAACCAAAGTGAGTAATTTCAGTTTTATGAACACTTCTGATTGGTATTATCTCCTGTTATGCTGTACAGGATGCAGGGCAATTGTGGACAGTGCCCTGACTTAACTTAACCTGGAATTCATTTGTGAGAACAGCTATAATGTGGTGAAGGAGGAAATAACTCAAAAAATTTATTTCTTGATAATGATTTTTTCCCCTGTTGCACAAAATGGGGAATACAAAAAAAATCATCTATACCCTTTTTTTATTTACATATCAGTATTGACCTAGAATTTCACAATTGGTTCAGGCCCAAAATTTCATGCCATTACTGTCAAAGACACATTGAATTCAGGCTATGCTTGTCTGTATTACACATATTACAGATTAAAAAAACAACACAAAGCAAAAGCACATTTTTTTGCATTTTCTTGTAGTTTAATACCAAATATAGATGTGTTTTTATTTTAGCCAGGAGGTCGATCTTCTTTACACCATGAATTGTTGGCATACTTGTGGCTTTCTAGTGTGGAATTGGCTGCTGAAGAGAATTTCTCACTTGCTAGGTATTGCCTCGTGCAGCTCGTGTGACGGGATTCCTAAGTGATCTGTGAGATGATGTAAACTTGGACAACAGTGCAAACCTTTTGCAAGCAGTATCTCTGTGGGCAATAGCAGGACTTTTACTTTAGTTTCAGCTTTGGGCATTCATGCATTATGAGTAATGCACGAGTGCCATTTTGGTCCCCTTTGGAGATGTTCCAGAGACAAATCAGTAGAGAAAAGGGAATATTTTGATTCCTTTTTCTTTGAAGTAAAAATGACAAATGTACTTGTCAGATATACTTAGCAAAAAAGTTAATATTGAGGAAAAAAGACTGACCTTTTCTAACTCTCAGAATTTCTCTAGTTTTATAAAGCTCAGATGTGATGAATAAATGGGGCTACCTCTAGTCAGGTATCTTATGGTTAAGTCTGTTGACATAGAGTAACAGCTGACAGTGATAACATCTTGAGCCAGACATAATTTTTTGTCATCCTATCACATTCTGTAAAGTGATAAAACTTCTAGGTAAGCTCTTTGCTATAAACTCCCTTTTATTTTAACTGCATATATTTTTTAGACCTCATCACTAGTAACAAGATGTCATGGCACAGCTTTGATATCCTTTGTGTTGGGGGATGCCTGCTTAGAAACATCAAGCGAGGTATCAAATCTGAGCCTAGAAAGATATTGTTTGCCAAACATACACCTTCAAACATTGAGACTGTAGGACAAGGCACATTAAGCCAGCTTGATCTGAGACAGCAGGTTTGACAAGTTCTCCAGTCATATGTCAAGATAGCAACAACATTAGTCAGTTTCTTCCAAAAGAAGGAAGATGCTGTATAAGGAACAGAAGCAAATCCTAGCTTGATGTTGAACGCATGATATTTACAGTGACAGCCTTTGGATGTGTAGACCATCTATACTAAAAATACATTCCCAGTTTTACACTTTAGATTTGACAAATGCACGCTTTTGAAGGCTTGCATGCTTTTTAAAGCAGCTGGGTGCCAGTGTTTTGTGCTGGCGATAAAATATATCCCAAATGTGACACAGAGAGCGTAACACAAATGTTATTTGACACAGACACTGTCCACTGAAGCTGTTTAATTCAATTTAATTTTTGGAGATTTGGCGTCTTATTTTTTAGGGCTGAAAATCAATCAATAGTATCTGAACGACAGCAAAAAAAAAATCTAGGAAATAGTAAATCTCTCATTTTTAAGCATAAGCAGATTGTATATAAAACACTATCATGCAAGGGAAGGACAAAAGAAAAAAAACAACATTTAAAATAGTACACTTTTAGACCATGTCAGATGGACTCCATTGTAGATTTTGCTTTTAAAAAGAGTCCCTGTCAAAAGCAAGCAAAGTTAAAAGAATATGGCTCCCTTTAGTTTTCCTGGCTTTGAAGCCTCTTGATGTCTCTGATGTCCAGGATGCTTACTGTTTAGTCATCTGTTTGGTTACATGAGCTCCCCTGTGCCTTATGATGAGGGGGGAATAGGTCAAGTGTGGAGTGATGCTGCAACTCCCCTCTGCAGAGGGTGAGCAGCAGAAATTCAGCAAAGCATCAGTAAACACAATTGCAGCCTCGAGCATGCCACTGCCACAAGGCCACAATGTTCACAGAAAATAGTGCAAGTTTTCACATTTTTGAAGTTGCCTAAATTCATGACCATGATCTTTTATCCTTTCATATAACTTCTGTTTTAGCTCATGTGTGTCTGCTGCAGAGAAAGAGAACATAGGTAAGCTGCCTTATTTTTCCCCCTCATTTGTGGACAAACTGTACTGTGAGATGTAATCAAAAGTAATGATATGCAAATGTGTTTTTCACTCACAGGCAAGGACAACAGAGAGAGAAAATATCAAGCGCACAAACAATTCAGCGACCGCCGTGGGGGAGTGACCGGAGCCCGCACATATTTCTATGCTGACGAGGCCAAATGTGACCAACATATGGAAACCTTTATCAAATGCATCAAAGCGTCTGGTAGGCAAACACAGGAGAAGCCACACTTGTATGTGTTTGCATTGAAGTTGTAGTCTATGACACCAGACATCATTCTATCGTACCATCACACTGTTATCTTTAGTTTTTTGTCATTTCATTTATTTTAATGTTATGTGCCACTTGTAGGTGGGAGTTCAATGGATGGTTTTTCTGCCATCAAAATGACTGCACTAGGACGACCTCAGTTTCTGGTAGGCACTAAAGAGCGATGAAAAAGTCAGTGTAAGCTTTTAGTTTTGCTGAATGACACTACTTTCTTTCTACAAAAGCTCCAGTTCTCAGAGGTGCTGGTGAAATGGCGGCGGTTTTTCACCTTCCTAGCGTCACAGCAGGGTAAAGATGGCTTGGAGGCCTTAGAGCAGAGGCTGGAGCTTACACAACTGCAGGTAGTATTTTTTTTATTTTTCCATGTTTTTCGCATTGATGAATTATGGTGATACTTGTGTAATATGTGCTAAACATGTCAGATAGGTTTTACATTTCCATAAATGCACAACTGGGATAATGCAAGACAGGTTTTTAGTGTGTGTTGTGCAGAACTTTAAATCTCTTTATTCTCATAGGAGTTCATGACCAAACTGGGTGCAAATGGTGACTTCTATGGCTGGTTTACAGGAAGGAAAGAGGACTCGACAGGGTAAGCGAGACCGGACTTCTCAAATAGTTATAAAAGACGTGTTGACACAGAGAAATATTTCATTAGTTGTGAAGCAGTTTTGCAGAAGAAGTAATTCATGAAAAAAAATTGTATGGAAATTTTAAACTAATATTAATTTCAAAACTAAAGAAGATATTCTTAGTTCATGCATTTGATAATTTATTTTATACAATGTTTAATACTATAAAATACGATCCCTTTAATATATGTTACTACTTCTAAAAAATGGAAGAAATAATCATCACTTTCCTTTCTGCTAACCTGACAAAATTCGGCAAGTAATAAAAGTAATGATTAATAATAAAAAGGGGGTAGCTATAAATATGTCTTTGACTTTAAAAACATAATTATCCACAAAGTGGCCAGTAAGACAAAAAAACAAAAAAACAAAAAAAGATTCTGGTAACAAAAAGATACTGGTAATAGTTTCACCAAAACCCTGTTCCTGTAATACTTTCCATCCTTTTTCCTGACAGATGCATTGACATGCTTGACTGGAACAGCCTAATAGATGACAGAACAAAGATATCGGATCTGCTTGTTGTTCCAAATGTAGAGGTCAGTAGCATAGAATCCTGAAAAAGAGAGATTTTTTTGTTGGGATACAATAGATTAAAGAAAACAGTTTTCAAAATTAAGAAACACTTTTAAAATATATTTCTACCATTACTCCTTGGAGACTACAATTGACTTAGATAATACTGCTCCAAGTTTGGCATGCTTTCAGGTTGTAGCAGGCAGGAGAGTTTTAAGTGTCAGCTGTGCCTGCTGAGCTAATTCTGACTTCTAAGCAATTCATTCAAATGTACTGTAGCTGCCATAGGCTGTTGTTATTGATCCAGTTATTTTTGTTCCCTGTTGTAATATGTTCATTTCAGAAGCAACTGGAAAAACTGAAGCAAAATTAGTAATTAATTGTGATGACATTTAAAATAAGGATTTCATTACTAAATGGTCATTTGCTCTCTGGCTGCTATAGTGAAAATGAAGTGCTTTTTGAAGTTTAAATGTTCTTATCTGAAGTTATTTTACTATAACCAGACCTTGAACACAATCAGCTCAATTACACTGCAAATCGTAAACAGCCATTTGGAGTTTTATTTACTTTAAAGTCTGCAACCTTTAACTGCAGATTTTCTGCATCATTCATTGGAATTTCTAGGGTGAATGACTTAGCCCTGGGTTAAGAAGAAGCCATAAAGTGGGAAGACTAATAGGTGTCATGCTGTGTGATATTTGGTTTATTAGTATCTCACAGTGGATTCTCTCCTGGGTTGTTTTCATAGCTAGGTAAGCTGGAGCCTCTGCTGGGGAAGTTCACTGTAGAGGAGGATCAACAAATGAAGCGGATGTTACAGCGTGTAGATATCTTGGCGAAGGTAATTACATACCAGCCACAAGGACTGATTACCATACATGAACATGCCCACACTTAGAGGCAATTTGCTGTTTAACTACTATGAATAAACACCTATAGATCAACTATATGCGATTAGTAAGATGTTTTTATGTGTATCGGTTAAATGAGATTTGTAAATCTTGTAAATATGATATAATTCCCATAAGTATATAGCTACTATAGTCTATAAAAGCTGCACTGGTATAATTATAATAATAATTAAAAAAATTACAGGGATTATTATTATTATTACTGTGTTTTAATGTCACAGTGTTAAGAATCACTGATTCTTTTGTTTCATTTATTTAATAAAAAATGTTCATTAATTCAACCTTGAAAACTATTTTAATGAAACTCTAGGATATTAGATGATATTACACCAAAATAATGAGATCTTTCATGTTTCAGCATGCCCTAGAGAGTGGTGTTCGTTTGATGGTGGATGCAGAGCAAACCTATTTCCAGCCAGCCATTAGCAGACTAACACTGGAGATGCAGAGGACCTACAACGGAGAAAAGCCTGTCATTTTCAACACCTATCAATGCTACCTAAAGGTCGGGCCTACAGCGGGCACAAAAACAGATCTTCAAAGCTGCAAACTTCTACTAATGCCTTGCTTATGCAAAATGTTTCTGTGGTGAATGGGAGGATTGTTATTGTCACTGAGTGATTAAATCCATGTTCTCAGCTCACAAGAAACCTCAAGTTTTGACAATGTGCTTCTTTAGGTTAGTAATATATTCAGTGTGTTTGAAATAGATCCAATGAACAGTTGTTGAAAATAGCTAAAAAACCCCAAACAAATAAAACCAAAACAGATGGAGATTCCTCTCTTTATTAATGAGATCCATTGACACAGCCGTTGTAATTTTTATTGAAGAAAACATGCTGTGACAGGTCCAAATGCCAGCATGTAAACAGATTTCTATTAGTCAGCCAAGCTGGGCTCGAAAGAGTGACGCGACAAAGACGAGAAAACAATAGTGGTGGAAATATGGTGATTTATTTTTTGTGTGTTTTTCCCAGCATTATTATTATCATTATGATATCAAAAGTGCATAGGTTCATAATAGGTTCATAATAGTTGTATTTTTAGAATATTATCTGTTGGTTACAACATAACTACAAGGTTTATTGTGAGTGTTTTATTTTTTATGTTGCTGGCATTTACAGTCATGAAAAAAGAAAATTTTCACAGAGCTTTGTGCAATCCTGTGAAAAACCAAATACTCCTCATAGTTCAATAGTTTATAGAGCCGCCTACAGGAAAAACTTGAAGTCATTATTTTCTGTAGGACTTCTGCAGTCTCTCAAATCATTTGGAGGAATTTTTAAACATTTCACTATGCGGTTGTTACTTTGGTTCACTAGTGGGCATTTGTTTAGGCACAGGTCTCGAGTTGATCGAGAGGTTAATACCTTGATTCTTATAAAATATTTTCTTTTGTCCTTTGGATCCAAGCTAACTAATGAGCTCATATCTAAAATCCTTCCGCATACGTAGAATACAAGGTGTCCAGGTCCTGTGGCTGCAAACCAAGCCCAAATCATCACCCTCGGCCCTGCCATTGTGCTGATATGCTGTGGTGCTATACATCATCTCCACATTGGATAGTTGTTTTGTTTTACAGAGTTTGTCTTCCATAGTTCTTTTTTTGTTTTTTTTTACACGTCATTTTATTTATTATGTAAAGGTAGATAGGACAGGTAACCCAGATTAAGTTGACTAATCCTTCTGTAAAAATAAAGCAGGTATATCATTGCACATTTCTACTTGTAATAAACATGGAAATGCGGTCAGCTCTGTATATAAAACATGTTTTAAAACTGGTACCTAAACTTAGAGGACTTGATTTTCATGATTCGGTGCTCCTCCTTTTTGTTCTGCAGGAGGCCTATGACAATGTAACTATGGATGTAGAATTGTCTCGACGTGAGGGTTGGCACTTTGCTGCCAAGCTGGTGCGTGGGGCCTACATGTATCAGGAGCGAGAAAGGGCCAAAGAGATTGGATATGAAGACCCTATTAACCCTGACTATGAGTCAACCAATAGGATGTACCACAGGTAAGAGCCAAGGCTTGTCAGTCTGTTTGTTCTGCATAAATCTACACATGTAGAGTTTGATTGCTGTTAGCCAAGCTCTCATTTATCATATTCAGAGAGGAACAGTCTGCTTACTGTAGTTTTTTTCGTTTTTTTTTTTTTTTTTTAAATAACAGAATTAAACTGTCAACCTTTTAGGCACCGGTTAACACCACAAAGGACAGAGTCTTTTATTTGGAGTTACTGCAGTCTTGTTCTTATGGCAACAAGCTTTCGTCTCAAGAGTTTGAGAAGATTTTGATGGAATAATGTAATCAATGAAGAAAAAACTCAGGATGCTTAATTGGATACAGTATAACATGAGGTGGATTCAGAACATGCAGATGGTGATTATGAATATGTGTATTAATATAGCCTTACTAACAGAGAAACAAATGAACAGGGCCAGATTTCTGTTTACATACTGTGAATACTTGATGTTTATAGAGATTTTTTATGGAGTATAGGTTTGTAAAAGTAGTCCCACACCTTACAATAAATGTGATCTGCTGATGAAATTGATTTATTTCAATGTGCCATGAAACAGTGTAAGCACAATAGAATAAAAATGCATATTTTATAGTGAACAATATAAAAGAAGTTACTAATTCCTACTTGAAAGACAAACAAACCTATTATTATGACTACCTAAATTGTCCCTGTTGTGTGTCATGTATTTGTGCAAGGTGTTTGGACTATGTGTTGGATGAGATTGCACTCAACAGAAAAGCAAATATAATGGTGGCTTCCCACAATGAAGACACAGTGAAACACACCTTAACAAGGCAAATTTTATGCTGTATCCAGTAACTTGAAACTTAAAACTATAATTCTTTCATACAAAATTGCATCTGTATAAACATGCTTATATTTTTATCCTCTCTCAATCAGAATGAATGAGCTGGGTCTCATTCCCACAGAAAACAAGGTATACTTTGGTCAGCTACTGGGCATGTGTGATCAAATCAGCTTCCCACTGGGTAAGAAAAGTACAGAAGCAGAAATACACAACCATGCAATGTCTAGGTACCAATCTGTCTTGTCATAAATAGTAAGAATAATTTTGACAGTGCCAGCCAGACAGGCCATACACCCTGTGATGCTTTCAACTCTGTCATAAGACCTTTAAGTTGCACAAACGTACCTCACAGGCCCCAAGGAGTGCACATGTAGAAGCCAGTCTGCATGACATATGAGCCAAGACACCTCAGTATTGAACAGTCCTCTTAACGAAGTGCCTCTGCTGGATCTCAGCGCTTTGTTTGTCAGTCAAAGCTAGACATAGTGGTGGCAGGCAGTTGTCTGTCAATGTGAGGCTGAAGCTGACATGGCCTTGACCAGTATTGATGTAAAGAGACAGGCATGTGTTTCTTTGTTGCTTTTTTGAGGGATGGAGCTGCCAGCACTGCTTTTGAATCCTGAAACAATAAAGAAGTTGTTTCATAAAATAAAGCAGACTGGAGCTGAGACCCATATTATTTGTCCATCACTTACTGCACCAAATGTACCTTAGTTAGTTTTTATAATTCAGTTTTCAGATAAGCTGTTACTCAGGGTGTGCTTGTCAGGGCAGAGTTTATTGTATCATGTTATAATGTTTTGGATGGATTAGTTAAAACAACATTTATTTCGACAGAGCTAAAGAGTTAAGCCCTGGCAAAGCAGTTTCACAGTGTGCGAGCCTAACTGACAGACGAGAGGAAATCTTCAAATAGAAATGCTGTAAACTGAGGATGTCAGTGCAAATACTGCAGTCTCGTCTGATTACACAGATCGTAGCAAACATTCAGTGAGAGAAACCAATCAAGATGATGCTCATGCTGTGGTTCTATAGAGTTTGTCCAATATAATCTGTAAAAAGTATACTCTCCTGTCATTTAAACTAGTCAGTCAAAATGATATTTTATGAAAAGGAATTTCATAATATTGACAAATAAAGAGAGAAATAGTTTTTGTCTACATTTATCAATCCCATTTTCTTTTGTTTCACTCCAGGCCAGGCAGGCTTCCCTGTCTATAAGTATGTTCCCTATGGACCAGTGAATGAGGTAATGCCCTACCTGTCTCGGAGAGCACAGGAGAACCGAGGCTTCATGAAGGGGGCCCAGAAGGAGAGGGAACTGCTTTGGAAAGAGCTGAAACGGAGACTTGCCTCTGGAGAGCTTCTTTACAAACCAGTGTACTGAAAAGAACAAAAGATTTAGTAAAGATTATTGAGGGTTTCTTTATCTGGTTCTTTGGTTAGTGTCCATCATCATAGCTGCCTGTGCTGTCTTTTTTAAGCACATCTCTTGTTTTAATCTATATTTTGAAGTTGTTGTTTTTTTTTTTTACTGATGGACTATTTACATAGGTCACTAGTTTTTCTTTTTCCTACTAGTGTTTTTCAGCATTCTGCTCTTGCAGGATTTTATCCACCTTCACTCCATTCACTCCTTCTGTTCTGCACCTCTACATCCATAAGCATTTCTCATTTTGTTTTCCCACTGTCTGTAGAGCTCTAATATCCATCATATGGGCAACTTTACTGCTCCAGAAGGACTTCCTAAAATGTCAACAAGACTGGGCTGGGCATCTTTTTTTATTGCTCTATTTATTTTCAAGGAGAACGGGAATCATAAGAATAACATGCTTGATATAAATGTTAGCAAAGTAAACTATATAGGTATATCTACTGTATATGTGCTTCTCAGTACTGTATGTTTGTTTTTGAGGTTGCACTGACATTTTTAAAACAATACAAATGGCCTGCATTTGTATAGCGCTTTTCTAGTCCATAGGACCCCAAAGCGCTTTACACTACATTCAGTCATCCACCCATTCACACACACATTCACACACTGGCGATAGCAAGCTACATTGTAGCCACAGCTGCCCTGGGGCGCACTGACATAATACAAGTTTATGTGTCATGAAGAAGTATAACTGCCTCATCAAAGCACATCTCTCTTCTTCATCCTTGTTATTATATTCACTAGGAGAAGTTATATTTTTGCCCACAGTATGTGTTCTATACTCAGACTGAAAGTTTCCCCAATTTTGGTCAATTCATGTCCAAATCTTGATTTTAAATCCAACTCTTAACTTAATTCAGATCAATCCCAGATCTCTTAACCATCTGTCTGCTCAGTCTCATAAGTAATTGTTAAACATATAGTTTTTAATTCTTGATCAATCTTTTTGATGATGAGCTTTGTAACTGTAAAGCAAATACAATAATATCAACAATAATTTCATCCTATTAGTCTTAAAAGGTTGATTAAGTATTTTCTTGGCTTTATCACTGAAGTGTATCTCCGTTATAGTTTCCTACCTATTAATAGTTTTCTTCCCTTCCTGTGATTGTGGTTCTGTTTCTATGGTTAATAGGCCGAGTACTGATGCCATGCTGGTGGAGAAGTGAACGTTTAAATCTGGGTCTCTGTTATAGTGGAATTGTTGAGGCTCTTTCTCGTTGTTTGTGGCTTGTTGATGTGGGCACTTTGTCTTGTTTCTCCATTTTGACTTATCTACAGCATGCCCTTATCCATTTGGGGTGTCTATAAAGCAAGCTAAATCTGGTCTCAAGAGGCTGAAAGCCCCCTGAATCTGGCATTGATATCTGTTTTTCTGGTCTGTCTGACAGACTGGACCTCTTACAACAAAGATACCTCCTAGCATGTTGGAGCACTATCTATTACATTAGACAACTCTGTGCAATTCTGATTTTTGACAATGTAAATATGTTTAACTCAGAATGTATTTGTTGAATTTGCATCTTACCAAATATGCTTGTGAAATTGCTAAATATGTGAATATAAAGTATGTGAAGTCATGCATATTTTTGATGTCCTTGACGGAAATGCTATAGCTTTGAACTGTTTGTACAGCTTGAGTTGTTTGAGGTTTTAATTTGGTGACATATTCTGCTTGGTTATTGATGCGCAATTAGTATTTGAGTCAGAGGGTAACCAAGCTTCATGATGATTATGGCCTTGTCATTTTATGAGAGCAGTCGGTGCTCTGTAGACCATCATTTAATTACCCATGATGCTACGCTCAATACAGATCACAGAAATTGGATGCATTAATCATTACTCAGAAGAAACTTTAGTGGCTGTTTAGTTTTACTGAGGCAGAGCACCGCAGAGGTGTCACCGTTGCTGTGTTCTATCAGTTTAATTAAGAATCAAGTCTACTTTTGATGTAAGATGTGCCTTTGAGTATACATTTGCCAATAAACCCCTTCTTATAGGGTAGTGGAGTTTTTCTGGTTAGCATGAGTAGATTCAGAGGACACATTAAGAAGTGAAAAATTCTACCCAAGTTCTAGGTCAGCAAAGCTCTAAGCACAGCAACAGTTCTCTCTACATCAAAAGCACACAAGAATGTAATAACATCAGCATAGACTAATTTACTTTATATAATGAATGTTGACATTGTATTATGCAAGATGTGATGTGTGGCATACATAACTGGCTTCTTTGGGCTCTTGTTTCTACCATTTTGGACCTAAGTTTGTGTCTTGGCTGTGGCCATTGGCTTGGAACACAACAGCCCAGGGTTTTTCAAATAATGACTACTTACGATGTGACAGGTTTTGTTTAAATACATACAGAACATCAATTTTCAGGGGTGTGACTTTGAAAAGTTTTGTTTTTCTGTAGAACAAAGGCTAGATTGGATTGTTGCCGCATTCTAGGCGTCACTTAAGCTCTAATCAGGATTTGTATGCCAATAGATAAAGTGACAGTATGGTGGCTTTGAGCCATCCAAGAGTATTATGTTTTGGTTTGTTTTTATCTTTTGACAGCAAACTGAGAGATTAGTGGCTCACAGTGCACAAAATAGATAACTAGGCCAATGCACATTAACTTCAACATCTCTAATCATATCCTCAATTTTAAGATAATGTTAAAATTAAGAGTAAACTTCGGGGGAAGTGTGCAAAACTATATTGTAAAGTATAAATAGTTAAAAAAAAGTCATTCTGAATGAGAAAGTAGGAAGAGTTTTTAATTTTTTTTTATCTTTGTAAAATCCTTACATGCAGTTTGTCATAACACCTGACACCTAACATTTACACAATTTTAATTGCCTGGGTCAGCCAAAAGTTGGCGAAGCGGAAACGGTAAAATTAAGTTAGCTGTTTATAGGCTTAATTAGTTTGAAGGCCGATGAGTTGGCTATGGTGTTTAAATTGTTTTCTTCTTCCATACAAATATTACTTAATAAAGTGGAAATAGAGAAAAGTGCAGAAAGAAGACTTCCAAGAATAGACAATAGACTCTATTTCCTGACATTGCACCATAATCACAAGATCATTTCTACATGGCCAGTCAGAATGACAAGCACAGTATAACTCAGCATCAGTGAAAATGCTGCATGACATCTTGTCAATATTTTATAACAACATCTGAGACAAAGTTGGCTCAAATGTCTAACAAGGAGGAAGGGCTGTTAACTTTCTGCAAGACACTGACATTTCCTGGTAAAATAATTGGCAATGCTTAACAAGAAGGTATGCATAAAATCCTAAGTAATTACAGAAACACAACAAACCAGAAACGTTGCTGCTTAGTCCTAATTAATGAATACCTCACACATGGTTCCTGAAAAATACTTAATAGGCTATGCTCTATAGTCTGCATCCATTTTACAAATGTACTTTGACATTATATGCTTATTTGCTCTGTAGACGACCTTTAATAAATAGTTCAGTTCATAACCCCTAGTGAAACAAACCAAAACTACCACACAGTGCAGTTAAAAAAAGACTTTATTACTGAGACACACACACACACACACACACACACACACACACACACACACACACACACACACAGGTGTCAGTCATCATAACAAACAAATGCTGCTGATAGTGTTTGTTTTTTTAAGATATTCATTATGATAGCAGAACTATAGTAAAAATAATAATACTAATAATAATAAATATATAAATAATAGGTCAGATGTTTTATGCAAAAGGATAATGAAAAAAACAAACATCAAGACTAGAGTCAAACAGCCCCTGTTACGACTGTCTTAATGTCGGTTCCTGCGGACTGGCAACGTATTTGATGACACCGCCATGGACGGCCAGCCATTCATCCTCGGCCCATCCCAACCCGCAGACTTTGTTACCTGTCTAGTGATGTTTGTTTTACACAGGAGCATGTAGGACTGCCTTTTTGTTTAATTACAGTTTTCTTAAGTTTTTGTTAGTTAGGGAGGTAAGTTGCTGTCATTTGGTTTAATTCTTTTGAGTAGGCAAGTTTGATTTATCCTTGAGATAGGCTCCTTTTTGTTTGCTGTTCTGCTGTTAGGTCCACCCTAAAGTTATAGTCTGCTCCTTTCCCTGTTTTAAATCCACTCATTGTAAATAAATCACCATCAAACTGTACTAATTGTGTGATGTGCTTCTTGGGGTCGGACGGGGATGGATCACCCTTATGTTATGGTCTGGCCACCCCTAGACGGTCCATAACAGCCCCCCAAAATTACCTTGCATGTCTTTTCCTAATCATTCATCATGTTATGCATTGATATAAAGGAGAATTCATAAGGACTTGAACCACACGGCTGTACTTGCGCTACACTCTGTAGTAATGTTATTGACATGGGTCTGCCGTCGAAATGGCTCAAATGACCCAACTGGGTTGTGGAGGGTTAGTATCTTGCCCAAGGATATTTGGCATGTAGACTGGGATTGAACCACCAGCCTTATAATTAATAGGTGATCTGCTCCACCACCTGAGCTACAGTTCCCGCTGGCACGCCTTACATAGAAGAAGCAGAGCCTAGGGTCGAGGGGGATGATGTGCCCATCACTAGAGGTGAGGACACTGAGGTAGTTAAACAACTCCATAGGCCCTGGGGAAGATAAAATTCATAATTAGTTCCTTAAGGCCCTGGATTTTGTTGGGTTGTCTTGGAATTGGATTGGAATGGTTTTGCAACATCCATGGGAATGTGTTTTCTACGGAGCCCCGCAGGGGACATGGGAGAAAAAAAAAATTAGGGAGAAAAAAAAAATTAGGGAGGAAAAAAAACAATTAAGACGGACTTTTGCGAGATCTCGCAAAACAAACTCGGGATTTTGCAAAAGTATTGCGAGATCTCGCAAAAGTTTTAGCCGCATTCTTCGGAGGCCGCCAGCTCGAAGCCGACCGGGAGGTCGAGGCACGATGTGCCGGGAAAGCGGTGTTCCTCCCGGCTGTAGTAGGTCTCGACCTCCCGTTAGCTTCGAGCTAGTGGGTGTCAGATCTCCAAAAACGTCGGAGCACTTTTGCAAATATGTGATGTCTTGTAAACCGAGCAGGTATCTGACGTTTACACAACTACATTCACGCCTCAAAATATCTTAAAAGTGTATTTTGTGACCCAGAAAGAGTAATATTACAACTAAGTAGCTGCCGCCATTGTTGGAATTCAACTTTTGCGAGATCCTGAGTTTGTTTTGCGAGATCTCGCAAAAGTCCGTCTTAATTTTTTTTTTCTCCCTAATTTTTTTTTTCTCCCATGTCCCCTGCGGGGCTCCGTAGTTTCCCATGTTTAAGAAGTGAGAACAGAGGGTATGTTCCAGTTATAGGGTGTGCACTGGAGCTGGTCTATTTTGGTAAAGAGATTAGCATGAAAGCAAAACTGTCAATTTATCAATCAATCTACACCTGAACTTAGTTATGGTCATGAACTTTGGGAAGGGAGTAATAATTGGACTAAAACTAATTAATAATAATACCAAAGTCTATTAACATACTAATACAGCAGACATAACTAGTGTTAAC